TGCTCAATAAGCCCCAAGAAAACCGACAGTTCATGAACCTTCAACCCCTCTGAATACCGATCCATAATCTCAATCAATGGTAACAGAGCAGACTTCAAGAGCTCGACATCGCCAGCGGCATGACGATCTTCCAAGAACTTGTCCAAAGTCTTGCGAAGCTGCTTCGCCGGGAATTCTCCTTTGCGGGACTTGGCTCTCTCGACAACCTGCGAGAAATGAGCGTCAAGTTTCTGTGGCATTCTGGCGTGCAGGGCAGAAAACTGCGCTGCCCATTCTCCGTAGGGAAGCTCAAAGTCACGGAGAACCTGGATGAGCTCCTTGAGAGAGGTGGCCATGATGACCTGGTTGTCGTAGCCATCAATAATATTCTTGAGGACGGCGGTAAGGAGTGTGAATCTTTGTGGCGGCTTGGTGCCGACGACCTGCGCCGGGCCGAAGTCGGGGAGCTGGCCATCGAAGGGAGTAGCATGCTTGACACGACTTGGATCATCCAAAGCTAATATACCGAGGATGTCACCAGCCTCAAGAGTAGACCCCGGCTGCTTGATGAGTTGAACGTGACCGTCTTCTTGCGCAAGAAGAGGCATGTACATTTTCATAACCTCAACTTCAGCAAATGCCTGTCCCTTCTTGACATGCTCTCCGTTCTCGACGAGGAACTTGACCAACTTTCCGGGGGAGGGTGTTCGAAGCTGTGTGGGATCGTTCTCTTGCTCCAGCAGGCATGTCTTGCTATCAACACTAACACGAGTAGCTCCGACCTCCTCCTTCCAGTAGACATTATGACTGCGTCCACTCAAGAGGATCAATAGACCACCGTCTGACAAGGCCCTCACGCCAATACTGCACTTGGAACCATTGATGAAAAGATGGTAGGAATCCGCACTCGATCGTGTAGCCGTAAACTTATAGCGCTTACCCTCGTAGATGAAATCGACCGGGAATACTGTCTTAAGGATATCCTTGGCAGGAACTTGACCCCTCTCCAAAGAAGCCTTGTACTCCGTCATGCAAATCTCACTCGCGACATGAGCCTTGGTAACAGCACCGCAAACAACCGCGAGGAATGTATCCGGTCGCTCAGTGGTAAGCTTGTTAGAGATAAGCTCGTCGAGCCATCCAGTAGTGATAGTATTATCTTCGAAAGCTGGGGTTTCTAAGAGCTTAATAAGGTACTCGACTGTTGTCCTAAAATCGCCACGAATACTCAATTCCTTCAAAGCGACGACCATGTGTTTTCGGGACGCACTACGGTTCTCACCATAGGCGAAAATGTGACCGAACTGCGAGTCGGAGAAGGAATGGATACCCCCGGCGGTACCGACAGAGAAGTAACCCCACACGTTTGAAGAGGATCGGAAATTCAGCTCGTGCATCATACCGCTGGAAGGCTTGAATCCTTGACCAGGATCCTCGGAGGTGATACGACAGGCGGTGGTGTGACCCTTAGGGGTTGGCCTTCGCTGGGTAAGCTGTGAGCCATCTTTGGAGAAATCAAAATCGATCTCGCCAGTGGATGCCGGATCAACACCGTACAACAGACGGATATCACGTATTCTATGTAGAGGTAGACCCATAGCGATCTGAAGTTGTGCAGCGGGAAGATCTACACCAGTAACCATCTCAGTGGTAGGATGCTCGACCTGGAGACGGGGGTTCAACTCGAGGAAGTAGAATTTATCATCCGAGTGAGAATAGAGGTACTCAACAGTACCAGCAGAAACATATCCGACAAGCTTTCCTAATCGTACAGCAGCCTTCTCCATCTTGGAGAATGTAGTCTGGTCAGCAACCGTGACCGGCGCCTCCTCGATAATCTTTTGGTGTCTCCTCTGTACGGAACAATCACGACCGAACAGCGAGATATTGTTTCCGTACTCGTCCGCCAACAGCTGCACCTCCAAGTGCCTAGCATTTCCAGCCAACTTCATGACGAAAATTGGCGATCCAGGCACCTCTCCAGCAACCTGATTATAAAGGCTCGCAAAACCATCTTCCGAGTCGACCTTTCGGATACCCTTCCCACCACCACCTTCTGAGGCCTTAATCATGACCGGGAACCCAATCTCCTTCGCCTTCTGCAGAGCTTCTTCGGCTGAGTGAGTGCACCCCTTAGCATAGACATCGTCGGCAACGGTAACCAACCCCTTCGAGTCAATCTGTACTTCATTGACCCCCAATCCGCTCCAAGGAATACACGGAACCTCAGCATGCTGAGCTACGATAGTCGACGAGATCTTATCTCCCAGGGATCTCATAGCCGAGCCGGGGGGGCCGATGAAAACAATCTTATTCTTCGACGCGGCTAAGCTCTCTGGCAATTTCGGGTTCTCACTCGCATGACCCCTGTAAAAAAATCCCACCATCAGCTTTACCGCCCTCCCAAAAGAAAACCCCCTATTCCCATCAACCAAAGCAAACGCACCATCCAGCCCAAACAGCATGAACCCCCATCCTCTCCGCAACATCAACAATTAGCTCCACGTTGGCATAGTTATTATTATTCGTGCCCCCTGGTACCTATTCCGTCGTCACCACGCAACCAATCAGCTTTAGATGAGGCTCCAAAATAAACTTCCTGGTTTCAAACCTCCCGCCCACCACTACCGTTACCAACCACTCTCCCCCGCAAAATAGCGGGGTAATCAGGCAGACAGCGACCAGTAGGTGAGGGGGGGGAAAGCCTCAAAATGGGAGGAGGCAAACCTCAACGTATTGATCCGCCATACGAATGTAATCTGCATTGGCCTGCAAATCCTCCGGTGTAGCCATGACGGTGAATTGTATAGCTCTCTCATCACCGAACGTCTCATACGCCCATTTCCTCACACTCCTAATCTCTTTGACCGCCGCAATTCCGTTGTTTGCAATCAAGACCTAAATCCCCCATCAGAACGAAATTGCCAAGTCAGCTTCCCTCCGACCAATTGCTATGGAAGACAGATAAACCGAGGACGGCAAGGGTTCACACCTTCTGAATAACTGTGTGCCCATCGTGCGACGCAACAAAATCCTTTACCGGACCAGGTGCAGCAACAGCAAGATGATTCCCACCGATAAAGTGAGCTGGAAGATTAAATTTTGCGGAGTAGCTCGGTGCGGCCTGTCTCTTCTTACCCCCAGGCTCCCCTGCCGTCCCGTTATGCCGCATTATAGCAGCGACGCTGGCCGAAGTATCGGACGCCATATTGTAGTAGCTATGATTCCTTCTCCTCCCGAAGAAGGCTTCACTACGGACGCAGGTGGGGGAGGAGGGAGGGAGATGATGTAGGAGTAAGGGGAGGATGAAACGATGAGCAATGGGGAGAGAATTCTGAGATGCAGGTGGAAGGAGGCTCCGGTAAAGAGTGGTGGCACGGCTGGCGGTGGTGATGCTGGAGGCAGGGCAGAAGGGAAACGGGGTATTAAAGTCTAGAAGGAGAACAAAAAAGGAAACGAAAAAGAAATTCCAAGAATTAGCGGGAGGGAGGAAGAGAGTGGGAGAGAGGAGGAGGGGAGGGACGGGAGTTTTAATAAATGTGTGGATGTAGAGGAAATGGAATCGATGGGACAGGAGGAACTTTTTCCCCTTTAGAGGGGGTGGAGGGGAAGTTTGCTTCACTTGTATGATTTGAACGGCGGAGGTATAGTTTAAAGAGCGTAGATAGGTGAGGTATAGCTAGGCTAGGTATGATATGTTGGGACATGCTGAGAGCGTAGAGTACTGTACCAAAAAAAAAAAAACGTTGGGGGTGGGAAGAATTGAAAAAAGGAACATACACCCTTGTGTCGTTTCGAATTAGCTCTTTTTTCTTTTTTTTCCCTCTTGTCCCCTTCCCACTGCCGTACCTAACCAGCACAACCAGCGCGAGCAAATCCGCAGGAATCATTGTGACAG